ATCCATGTAATGGCATATGTGCAACGGTTGAGGAAATGGTGCGGCTATCCTAACGGCTCCTAGCGGGTGCCAGGCTAGCCTTGAAACGCTCCATTGATGTCGAGTCCACAGCGGCATTGTGCAGGTTGTTCCAAGCAATTATTGTTCGTGGGAAGAATGATTGTTTATATTGGACTGTGTTACACCGAGGCACAGTGAAGCATTTACAATTGTTCCGGATGTAACTGCTCATGAAGTTTTCAGAGGTGAAGTTAATGTTTATTGAGCGTTTGGGTCTGATTAAGCGACCTGGCTTCTGAGGGGTGAGGTACGTGTTAGCTGGGATGGTCGGCACTAGACCAGTGACCACTTTATATAGAAATGTTAGACGGAGTTTTTCTCTTCTATATTTTTAAGATGTCAGTGACGAAGCCTGGAGTAGTAGATTTGTAGTCACTTGCGATGAAGCGCACTGAGATACGATCTATTCGCTCCATTTTGTCCACGCCTTTCTTTAGGTACGGGTCCCAGATTATCGCATCATATTCTAGTAGTAGGTGGACGAGTGCGAGCTAGACATTTCGTTTGCAGGATTAAATAATCATTCATTACTGGTCTTATTTAAAAATACGTACCTCCATTGCAATGTAAATGTACAAGAACAACAATGAAGAACTCAGTTAGATTCATCTTTCTTCCCTTATGTTCATAGCAGGCTTTAAAAATAAACAAGACATCTAATGACTGAAAGCTGTTGATAAATTTTTGTTTGCTACATCTTGAAATTATTTTGTTCAATGTGTTTTACAATTTTTAAAATTGTAATAAATTTTTTGCATTCCTATAAAAGTATATTTTGCCGCAACAATCAAAATCAAATAAAGATTTAATTGTCAAATAATGTTAATCTAAACTTACTTGAAAGTATTTTAAAATGTTAGTTGTTGCTTTTCCCCAAATGCTGACATAAATAGTATCAAAAACAAACAAAGGGCAGAGAAGTTTTTTTTTGTTTTTTTTTTTAAAGATGGATTGTGATGTCATTTTAAATGTGAAACAATATGGTATCAAGGTTATTTTTCTAATAAAAGAAAACTTTAATATTTCAATTGGATCGTTACGCGTAAAAATATAAGAGATTTATTTGTTTCCAGTATGTACCTAAGGGCAACCATACGTGCTCATGGCTGATGATTCTTTCAGGTGTCTTGTGTACCTAGGGGCTATCTAACGGGTTCATGGCTGGTGTTTTTTTCAGGTGTCTTGTGTACCTTATGGCAACCTAACGGGCTCTTGGCTGTTGTTTCTTTCAGGCGTCTTGTGTACCTAGGGGTAACCTAACGGGCTCATGGCTGTTGTTTCTTTGAGGCATCTTGTGTACCAAGGGCCAACCATATGGGCTCACGCCTGGTGTTTCTTTGAGGCGTCTTGTGTACCTAGGGGCAACCGAACGGACTCATGGTTGCTTTTTCCTTTAGGCGCCTTGTGTACATAGTGGTAACCATACGGGCTCATGGCTGGTGTTTCTTTCAGGCGTGTCACAGATATAATGTTGGAGATAAGTAATTTGAGAATTATTACTTATGAATTTTTAGAGTAATGGAACCTGGAGAAAACTAGCCAATGAGAATAGGGCCATGACGAAAATAAGAAAAGGTGACAGTTTTTACGTCAATATAATTATGAAAGAAGATTTTGTCTTAGAGTGAGCCAATGATTTGAGAAGCTACATTACAAGTATTTGATGGATTTAGTATGTTCGGCATGAGTATTTGCTCTTATTTCAAGTTCAAGTATTAACTATTGTATTATTGTGATCGTACGTTAGGTGTTTAATAAATTCATAGTCACTGAAATATTAAATTAAATGCACGGGATCGAGCTAGTGCTCTATAATGGCCCCGGCAAGTATGGAACAGGCCTGCCTCATCTGTTGGGCAGTCCGTAAATCGGGCTTTTGACGTGGTTGGCTGGGAGCACCCCAGTCACGTCAGTCGCTAATGTCCAGCACTCGACTAGAAGGTCTCATGCGACTGTCCACAATGGCGGCATCTCGGGTCCCGCAGTGGGTGTAACCTATTCAGATAGCTTTTGGTAGGGCAATGCTCTGTTCTCATCTGGGTGATGAGGTTCTGCTGGTTGCGTTTATGCCTGCACCATTGATCAGCCTTGCGGTTTGTTTTCGGCATTCTCCGGTAAAGTGTTCGGGCAGTGGTACCCTGTTCCTGCAATGCTCTGTTCTCATCTGGGTGATGAGGTTCTGCTGGTTGCGTTTATGCCTGCACCATTGATCAGCCTTGCGGTTTGTTTTCGGCATTCTCCGGTAAAGTGTTCGGGCAGTGGTACCCTGTTCCAATTCTTTAATCCATTACTGATGGAAGAGTTCTTTAGTCCAGGCCTTGGCCCCCATTTGGGTCATTGGTCGGTTAGGTTTAGGCTTGGAAGAGCGTTGCCTCGCAAGACTAGTGAGCTCTGTCTTGTAAGGGGATCCCCGCGTGACCTGGGATCCATTGAAGGGTCACTGTGTCTATGTGAGACCGTATGTCTCGTAAGAGTTCCAGTTTTGCCTGTGCCATCTTCGTGTCCAAATAGCACCGCTTCACAATCTCTAGAGCACATTGTGAATCGGTGAACACTTCGATGGATGGCAGTGTTTTGCTCCTGGCTAGCCGACGGCGCACTTGCTTCAGACCCATTAATATATATTTGATTTCTGCATCTATTGCAGGGTTATTCGTGCCACTTGGGCCTGAAATCTCCTCTGCTGGTGTTACCCTTATGGATACTGTATTAGTGCGCCGTAGCATGCCCGCTTCTCGTTGGCGAGATAGGAGCGTCTTAAAAGATTGAGACCATTTTCTTACTTATAAAGATTAATACTCAAAAAGGGTGCGAGATTACTCTCTTAGGACCCTCGACACGATGCTTACGGCGCGCCTCATCTGCTGGGCGCTTCCGTAAAGGAGATCATTAAGGCAGGCCTCCGGATTCCTACCGTTGGCCCCCATCCCACTGTCCGGACACGTGACAACCAAGTGGGCTACTGTCTCCTCTTCGTGTCCACATTGTCGGCACAAAAGTTCCCTTCTGTTATCGAGTCGGTAGAGATAACTGCGCGTAGCGCAGTGCCCAGTTCTCATCTGTGTGATAAGGCTTTGTTCTCTACGACTAAGCTCCCACCATGGGTCGCTTTTGCTCGGCCGCTGGAATTCCCGGTAAAACTGTCGTCCAGTAGTGGCCGTGTCCCACTTTCCAAGCCATTTTCTCCTGAAATGGTCTTTCAACCAGGCAGTGACTCCGACCTGAGTCATGGGATTGTCTGGTTGAGGTAGGGCTGCGCCTTCTTGGGCTAAGAAATCTGCCCTGTCAGGAAGCGACGCCTCTAAGCGCGAAGTGATTAGCTGGAAGATTACCTTAGGGCCATGTGCATGGATGGAGCCTACTGTTTCCAGAATGACAGTGATCTTTGTTGAGCCCACCGA